CACAAAAAACATAAAAGTAAACATTTTACATACAGCACTAACTCAGTTTCTGAAAGAAAAATACATATGTATTAGTGTATATTACACACATACGCACACACATGGAAAGAAACATACCATATAAACATTGGTTATTTTGGGGTAGTGAGATTATAAGCATTTCTTTTTTCATTTACACTTTCCTTTATAGTTTTCATACTTCCCTGTGTGCAAAGCAGAAAGCCATAGAGTTATGCATTTCTCCTCGGAGACTGAACTGTGGAGAGTGACTGTCCTGCCAAACTCAGTTCCTACCAGACTCTCACGTGGTTGAGCGGCAATTACATATAATTCAGCCCAGGACGGTGCAAACCCCAGTGTCTCTTGGGAACACTCTGCCTGCAGTGACAGGCACACGGTACCACCCATGGGTGTAACTTCCTCTGTGGCTTTGCTCCCTTCTGTTCATCCTTATAGTCATGATGATGTCCCAGTACCCATGAAAGCTATGATCCCAGTCATCTGATGAGCAGTGTTTCCCAGTTTTGTAATCTGATCAGATTCATTTTCCCAACTGTTCTCCCCATGATGGTGAGAGTGTCGTCTTTTAACTCAGTCTTTGCATTGAAGGGGGCTGAGGTGCAGGCTCCTAGTAAAACAAGGGAGTGGGCAGTTCCCAGGGCAGCAACATGAATTCCACACTTTTATCCTTAAGGTGGTTTTAAAAAAATTCTACAGCAAAGTTCAAATCGACCAGCAGTCCCCTCTGAAGTAGCTACAATGCCATCTCATTCAGCCCTTCCACCTTCACTGTCTTTTTCTTAACAAGGCTTGATTTTAGGAACCTGGGCAAGAAAGTTGCACCTACAGCAAAAGAGGTGCTGAATTCCTGAGGCCTGGGAATTTAGGCCGTGATGGTATCTGTTCCTAGAAAAGAATTCACTCAAAAAAAGACAGGCCTTGACTGATAGAAAGAATCCACTTACAATTAGTCCATTTGTTAACCCTCTTTGATGTTAACCCTCCCCCAGGCTGCATAATGGAAACACATTTACACTTTTCTGAAAAGTGGAGGAAAAACCAGATAGAGGGAAAAAGAACTGGCTTTGAAGCCAGACTGGTCTGGGTTCTGATCTCCTTTGCAAAATTGACAATGGAAATACTTCTTTCGAGGGTTGTTTTCTGGATCAAATATAATGCATATAAAGTGCCCATCACAGTGTCAGGAACATAGTAGGTACTCAATGAAATGGCAGACATTATCTTCTGGGGGCAAGGAAACCTGAGATTAGACCTAGCTCTACCACAAACTAGCTCTGGGATGCAAATCCTAGAGAAGGACTAATGATGATAAAGACAAATTAGATCACAGATGACAAAATCAGAGCACTGACATCACAGGGTATTAATCTAACCTCGAAGCTTCTGCTGACTGCAGCAGTCTATAATTTACAATCAGCTAAAGGGTGATCTCGGTGGTGCTGTGGTTCCGAATGAGATGGGAAGGTTTACCAGCAAGTGGAGCTCAGCTGCCACAACAACTCAGATGTTATTCTCAAAGTGAGAACGTTAATGGTGAGATACATATCTTCCAGAGCATCCCAGTGGGTTTTCGATTAAGGTAAAGACTTAGGAGACAAAGCTGCATTTTAGAATCAAAGCTAGAGCTGTTCTGGAACTGACATTCTCTGATAAGCTATAAACATTGGTACTTACCACGGTTTGGGTAATACGATGTAAAGACCTCGATTTGTGTATTTTGAAAACCCCAAATACTCTTGTAGAAAATGTGAAGCACCATAAAAATACTATGCTTTTTCAACCTGACAAACACCCTCTTATTACAGCAAGCAGCTTTTTCCATGAAGGATTAAAAACATTCTAAAGTGCTTCTTTTTTTTTTAGCTGAGCTATCCTGCTACCTGTTGGCAGCTCAGTGGCTGCTCAGCTCAGCCTGGGCTCGAACTGCTGTTGCTCAGAGCTCAAACTCTTGAGCGAGCTCTTAACCAACTGAGCCACTCAGCTGGCCCCTTAAGGTGCTTCTTGATTTGAGTACTTCTAAAACTGTTGAAGAAAAAGATGATACACACACACACACACACACACACACACACACACACACACAAAGTATGTTATGTATTATATATAACTACATGTCATATAGTATATTATGTATAGAGAGAATATATTATATATAGTTGTATATAATATTAGTTTATATATTATATAGAGCTTATGTTATATAGTTATATATAATATATGACATATAATTTTATATATATTTATATATACATATTACAGAGAATGTATATATAATATATAATAGTTTTATATATTTATAAGTTTATAAATATATAAAAATCTCTATATAATACTCAATATAAAATAAATATAATACATAAAAATATATTTATATGTATAATGTTATAGTTATATAATATCTATTGTAGTTTTATGTATATTTATACACATTACAGAGAGAGACTATGTTATAGTTATATAGAGAGTTTTATATATATTTATACTTATTACAGAGAGAGGGAATATGTTATATGTATTATCATGAAAAGATCTCCAACTACTGGTGAAATTGGATGAAACGTCACCACCTGCCTGAAGTTACACAACTTCCCCAAGTGCTCAGAAAGCAGTTTGCTCAGCTGTAGAAAATATTTGGGTGGACTAGGCCTTTTCCTAAAGGGTTTCTTGTATTAAGCACAGTACTACTTGGGAGGATGCCTAGTTCAGGGGACTCATGTTTTCCTGCATCGTGTCGGAAACAGTTCTCACAGCTCCTAGTGTTAGAGAACCGTTCAGTTTCAAGGTTAACTAATAACCTATGGGAGCTTTTCTTCTGCAAGGTGGACCTTCTCACTTCATGCAGACCTATGGCAGCAGCCCTGTCTGTGGGAATCACGCCCACACACTGAGGCTGCTTACTGTCCACCCAAGCGATTCCTCCAGGGGTCTTCACACACCTGGCTCTCCCTTTTCCTCCCTGTTGTAGCCACTTGTAATTCTATCCAGCGATTTCCATGACTGTCTTCCTTCCCCTGGGCTCAGAGCCACACATAGGCTCTCTGCTGTTGTCAGCTTGACAAATCTCATTTCTTCAGTCTTCAGATGAGACTCCAAACACTGGCCCTCTGGCACCCTCTTGGCCCATCACGTGCGCTGACTCTGCCTCACTGTGATGGCTACAGTCAAAACCTTGAAGCACTTCTGCTGTCGTGTTTCAGAACGAACCCAACATCCACACAAAAGTCCCTCACAGTAAGAACGGGGTGACAGAATTTAAACATCTAAATGAATGTGGTCCCAAACTGTCCCCACTCTGTCTTCCCCGCCCACACCACAGGAGACACCAGGATGCGCCTGCTTTGCTCTCTCACTGGCCCAACAGCCTCATGTGGCCACTCCTTCTGGCACCCCCATGGCTCATCAATGCCAGGGAACCAACAGGCCACATGCGAGTGACATTCACCAACACCCCATGTCCTCCAGCCTGGTCATCTTCATATCAGTGACCCCAAACCTGGGTCCAGGCACTGTGGGCAGCTGTCACGGGCTCCTAGGAAAAGGAATGAGGCAGGCAGGGGGCACCGTGCAGTGACTTTGAGAAGACATGGTGGAGTATGTTAGATGCAGGAGCCGGAAGCTGTCGGATAAAGCAAGGGCTTGACTGTGGCCCAGAGAAATGGCTGGTCAGCAGGTCACATAGGGAGGGACTGAATCACCGAGTTTAAGGATCATCTTAACTTAATCAGATGAAAATCCTGTCAGGACTGACAACCTCCTTGTGAGTTGCCACATTATCCTTTCAGTGATGTTCAATATCTGGGACATGCAAACCTGCTCCCCTCCGCCCAGTTCCCGTACCTTGTAACATGGCTTTACTGTCTGGGCTGTGGCCTCAGCTGACACTCCGGTGGCTCTGATATTGCCCTCCTCAGGGTACCAGGTGACTTGGGCCACCTGATGACTGGGTCCTGCCCCCAGGATGCTTGCTGCACTCACTCACCAGCCCCCATGGGCACCACAGCTGACTCTGTATCCTGCTCTGTGTCAGAAGGGACATTCTGAAATCCTGATCTGACTGGCACTCATGACCAAGACCTGCTGGGCTCTCCATCTGAGTCTGCCCCAGCTGCAGCCTCCCCTGTAGGCTGCAGGAAGCCAGTCCCATCAGGGTGCCCAGCACCCTTCCCCCACTCTGCTCCCTTTACCAGGAAGGCTGGCCGACTGGTCAGAGGAGGAGCCTGCGAGGCCTTCCAGGCACACCCAGGGATAGGTAGTCATGACCGCCTGTGGATGTGACCCTCTGGAGCACTGCCCTACTTTAACATTTTGGTGTCTTACAGTAAACTTCTGAAAGGCAGGGACCCCGTGGGAGACGCCTGAGGCCTCAGGGCCATTCAGTGGATGTCGGAGTATAACTGCACGTGCAGGTGAGCACACTTGGCTGGTATTGCCACTTCACGTGCTTCTATACCAACACAGCCTCAGCCCCAAGGACAAGGCTGGGGTGCTGGTCCCCTGACATTGAAAGGCTGGAGTGTCATGGGGCTGGGAGCTGTCAGGGGCCCCACAACAGCACCCAGTGATCAGTTTTTGTGATGTGCTGGCCCTGTGGGGTGGGGTGGCTTCGCTGCTAGTTCCCAGAGTATTTGGGGAACTAGTGCTCAGAACAGACTCCATGTCAAAGAAGAGATGGGATGTTGGGTAAAGTTAAACAGGTATGTTTACAGCAGAACTTGGAGCCCTTCATTTCCTACAGATGTGAGTGCCCAAGGGGAGGCGGTCCGTGGAGCTCTTCAAACACGGCTGACCACAGAGCCTCAGGCTACTGTGGAACCTGCTTTGGGAAACGTCCCAAATGAGTGGGTTTTTACCAAATGACAGATGAAAGACCCAGAATGCAGTATTTGCTCATTACTCATCCATTGTGGTCACTCTAAATTATGTCAATCATAAGGATCAAGCGCTGTCTTTCTCAGAGAGATCAGAAGAAAATGTACATCTTTATGGAATCAAAAACTTTTATTCAGAATAAGCACTAACAAAATGAAGGTAGTTGCCTCATAAATACAGGACCATGAAGTACTCAGAAATGGATTAAAAATAATTATAAAAATATTTTGCTACAGATTTAAAAGACTTGAAATGACAATTATGGCTATAAAATGTAGGCTGCGTAATTACATAGAAGATAAAAGGTGAAACGCTTCAGAGGATTTGCTTGCCCAGGGGGCAGGAAATCCTCCCTCAGAGCCGAGAGAGCTGCGGTGACACCCACCACATGGGCACGATGGGAAATGACTAGGCCACTGCTAACGGGAGGGGACCAAGCTCAGGACACGCATGCTGTGCACCTCTGTGGCCCCCACCGCTTTGAGCAACATGATGACGTGCTTGTATTCCATCTACTAGGACTTTCAACGAGGCGAGTGCAGCATCACAGGATTTTCACTGGGATGGCATCTGACTTTTCAGTCTGGCCAATCTCATGAGGCACATGTCCCTCCACTGCCTTCTGGCAGTTAAGTGCTCAGGGTCATCTGGGACTTTTGCACACATGGCCTGGAAACACGGGAAGCAGAGAAAAGAAGAGACAAGAAAAGAAGAGAAGAAGAAAGAAGCATGAAGTGACCATGAGCTTCCTGAATTCAGAGACAACAGGTCCTCACAGACAACTCACAGTGTCCTAGGACCATGACAGAACTGTGGACGGCAAGTTAGAGGTGAGCGGCCGTCTGAGCCAAAAGTAACGCATTCCAGCTGCAAACCAATGTCTCTCGCACAGAGTGCCCACTCGGCCCACACAGCCCTCTATGGGAGTCCACATACCTGGTGAACCTTTTCAACCGTGGCTCCGGAAAACTCTGGAATGGGTCCAAAAGTCTTGAGCACACGTTTCATGCCTTCGCTGTATCTGTCACAGTAGTTTAGCATACCTGAAACCGCATGAACACAAGAGTCCCAATGTCAGCAAGGATGTGACACAGCTCCCAGCTGAGGCATCCGTTCAGAGGGCTTGCCCTGGGTCAGATGAACTAAAATCCCTTTCCCCCTGTGGGTGAAGAGAAGGTGGAGGTGGGCAGTGCACCGGGTCGGCTGGCCCTGGGGACATAGGGTCCTCATCACCAGTCACTCATCAAGCTTCACTCAGCGCTCAGCATCCTGAATGGCAGGGGACCCTCAGGCCTGCCACTCTACCTTGTCAGCATATCTCAAGGGACGTTCACACATTTAAGTCCTATTTTCCCCAAAAAATATCACCTTCTACACTGCACCTGTGAACTACTTGTGTAAATGGCTTAAGTGCAATTTCTAAGAAGTACAGCTATCACAGCTCACTGAAATCTCTTGTTCCCCGACTTCCAATTACCTCTTGATCAGGTGTCTACAAGGCGTCAGGTTCTTTAATGCAGGCTCGGAATGTGGCCAGCCAAAGGTAGCCCCATCACCCAAGCCCCAGCTGCACTCCTCTCCGAAGGTTTCTGGGCCCTTGGGAACACAACCCCTTTGTCGGATGCTGAGATCAGGCCTTGGGATTTTAATGGAGAAACCCATGACATAGAGGCTGTCATCCTGACGGAAGAGGGGAGGAAGAAACATGGTCACAGTGACCAGAACTGGCTGTGGACATGGGGCTGACGCTGAGCTCCTGGCTCAGCATCAGATATTCACAGAGGGTGGCAGTCGGCCACCTCCTCCGGGACGTGTCACCTCCGGCGATGGGGCAGGCCAGCCGGAACTCATGCTCCTCTCATCCCTTCCCTCCTGGGAGGCAGCAAGGCTGGGCCAGGGCAGGCATGGACGGGGACTAGTCAGATCGGAGGCCAGCCCTGGGTGCATGCAGCAGGGATGTCTCTAAGTCCTGGGCCCCACTGAGGACATGGGATGAGCCACCCGCTGTGCCTCCTTCTGCCCAGTTCCAGCACCGGTCATGACCAGCAAGACTCGGAGGCTGGTGGGTCAGGTGAAAAGGTAATGGGAACAAACAGACGGCAGGATTTGTGCAGATCCCCGAGCTTGGCTCTCACCCCTCCCCTTCCGCCCCCAATACTGTTGTGATTAATTTAAAATAAAGATCATCACCACCAGGTTGTCTTTAAAAAAAAACCAAAAAACTCCTTTGGGGTTCAGTTTTGGTGGAGCCATACTGATGTAAAAGTCTGAATTCCCTGAACTGCAACTTGATTTGCCTCCTGTCCTCTTTCAGTGTGCTAATCCAACTTGCTCTCAGGAGAGGAATGGTTTGGAAGGGTAAAAAAAGCAAATATGCCAACTTGTCTGACACTAGCACCTACCATTTAAGTGGTGGACACTCTCTTTTTAAAATAAGGAGTTTCATTTCATTTAACACAAGTATAACCTGACAGTTCAGGACTCTGGAAGGCTCCCTAAATGTTCCAGCACTGGCTGGCTAGCTCAGACAGCTCCGCATTTCTGGAGCACAGAAAACCTACACATTTATTTCCTTCTGGAAATGAAATATTTCCTTCACTTTATCTATATGTGTATTTATTAAAATGAAAGGTGATAAAATCTAGACACAAATACAGCTTATTCCTTTCTGGGAAGCAGAGACACAAGAATCAAATAAGTTGGAAAGATACTGAGTGATGGGCTCAGCGGGAGCTGTGTAGTCACCCACATGTGGGAACACAGAAGCCCCGTGATGCCTCTCCACGGGGAGCAGCCATGAGCCATGGATGCGATCTGCGGCCCGGGTTCACCTCTGCATTACTTCACCATTTCTGAACAAACGTTCACCTTTCACTGTCCCTGTGAGGTCACTTGAATCTCCCAGGGGCTTTCTAGAACTTTTTTCCCTACTGCCTTTTATAAAATGTGCAGCTTTAAAAGAGCATTTCTTTCCTCAAGATAGAATAAAACATGGTGAAACTCTTTATAATACCATTTGTACTTTCCCCCCAACTTATTCAAGAAGCCAATTATAATAAAACTTTAGTCTTTCTATATCATGTACTCAGGCTCCTGGGATGACCAGCCCCGTGTTTGTGGTGATGGTAAGAAGCCACACAGCCAGTGCGTGCAGACCTCCCACCTCACCAGTACAGAACCTGACAGCTCTCCCCACTAGCTCAAAGTCCAAGTTCACAGCGACTTAAAGCCACAGTTATTTACAACGTCCCAGCAAATTCATTATTGTTACTGTTATTTGCAGCATCCCCCCTTCCATCAGAGCAGTAGAAAAGGAGGATTAAGTGGGCATTGTTCTAGAAACCCCATTTCAGTGGAAATGGGAAGCCCACTTTACCTTTAATCCCACTAGCCTGCCCGTCCCCTGTGTTACTATGGAAGTGAGCCTCCCATCTTTCTTCTATGCTCCCACGCCCTCTGTTCTATTCAACCACATACTTCCAAGCGCTCTCAGTGAGCTTTGCTCTTCAGAAGTCTCTGAACCTAATTTCTTAAGAGATGTTTATACAGAATAAGAACAGGAGGAAGAACTGGATCTCATGAGACTAGCTTTAGCTTCTCCTGCTGACTTGTCATTCTTCAGCTTAAGATGCCGGAGGTGACAGCACTTTCTTGTCAGCCCAACCCAAGGTGATGGGTCCACAGGGAGCCGTCCCCGCTGTTTGCATTTATGGGGCAGGCACCCAGCACGCAGCCCGCTGTCACCAATGGAAACAGCTGCTGGGACGTGCCCTGGGTGTTGTTTCTTGGAGAGCCCTAATTGCCACCCATACCACAGGAGTCTGGTTTTCACACAGCATGTGAACCCACACTATGGGAATCCACCTGCTTTTAAGAGACAGAGTTTCACAGAACTTATTAGGCCCCGAAGCACAGGGTGACATTATCTAATTCCCACCAGAGCTAGATCTCACTGGATGGGGAGGAAGGTGTGGACAGAAACCGATGGGACCAGCCCCATCGGCTCACCTGTTTCACTGCAAATCAGAGCTCCACATAAATGAACCAGACCCGCCAAGTAGGCATCCCAAATAAAAGAGAAAAAGCCAAACATCTACACACAGGAAGTTCTGAGAGGCCAGGTGGTGAACACTCTTTCAACTGGATGCTATTCCCAGGGTCCAAGACACAGTCATTGCCCAGGTCAGACTGAACCTGGGAGGCGCCTGAGGGCTGCCAGCTAAAGGCTTAGCAAGGAGACAAACCAAAGAGGTATTCAGATTTCACTATTCCACAGCAAAAAAGTCCTAATCTGTATTTGTTCTGTATTTATCCCCTATGTACTTGTATATTTTGGGAAGAGAATTAAAAAACAAACAAACAAACAAAAAAACCCTAGAAGCATAGGGAATTAAAAGTCTGTATGAATATAACATTTATTACAGGTTAATGTGTGCCCGCCATCCAGCTAAATGTCTCCATCTGGTTTAACTGTCACACACCCCGTGAGGTAGTTACTGTGGCTGCCCCATTTTACAGATGGGGAATCTGAGGTACACAGAACCAACTGGCATGAGGATATTAGGCCTGTAAGTCAGGTAGGGACACAGGCCAACAGGCTCCACTGCCCAGGTCCACCCTTCTGAGAGCTTGTCCTTCATGGGTGCTGCTTTTGAAAAGTAGCTGAAAGGCAAACTAAGCACGCTGGCCTCCTGGTTTGCAGGTGTTATTTTATTAGATTAAAACAGATCATAAAATATCTTTACCACGTCTAGATAAATTGTAGCTTTGAAGACTAATAAGTAGCCTTAACCTGATATGCTGGCTTTATGAAAACAACATCAGAAAGAGATGAAGTCTCCCAGCTCCAGTGTTGATACATTCTGGGTGACAGACACTGAGGGACAGTGAGCATTTCCATTGGTGCCGAGCCTGATCTTAGAACTGTCTCACGCTACTCCTTGGAATGCTCTGAAGTTGAAAACTACATCCGTCCACCATTATCATATTGAGCCAATTAGGTTTTCTTATCGTATCTGCTTTGTTTAAAAATTTGTTATGAGCCTCCTTCCTGTCTGCCACTTTATTTGATTCCCGAGTTTCTGGTTTCATCAGCTTCTGTTTCTATTTGTTTGTGAGTCAAAGTGGCTCTCAGCTCTCTCCCTATCAATTTCTCGTGATACCTGAATTATCTTAATTTTCTCAAGAAAAAAAAAAAAAACGAAGAAAAAGAAAAACATGGTGGTTATCCAGCAGTGTCTATATACATTTCAAATGCTTAGATATGTTCATCACTTTTAAGATTCTGGTTGGAAAAAACATGTGAAATTACCCCAAACATTATTTTAATGATATCTTACAACTCCTGTTTCACTTTTACGAGGGTGTCTTTCCTTGCATTACCCTCCTATGTTCAACTGTTCTCCTGCCATGTGGGTGCCAGGCGGGAGTCCCCGCTCCCTGCAGATGCCTTCAGCTCGGTGTGAAGGAAGAATCAGGTCACTTACTGCACCACATCTGCACGACATGCGACCAACCCAGTCAAGGCCCCAAGTGTGCACCCATGGAGCGCAAGAACACATCTGGTAAGACTGCCTGGAATTGTCCATGGGGAATTAATTTTCATTAACTAGCTAGGTGAAAATTCACTGAGTGTTACCAAAACCTTGTGGGATTACAAAATCAAAGGTAGACCCCTCCCCCCAGATGTCACCTACTCTGACCTAACTGTGAGTCTCCTGTCAACATCCAAACCTTCAGCCTCCAGCAGCTCAGCGACCCACTCGCAGCGTGGCCTTTCCCGCCATGGTGACTCAAGGTACAAGAAAGTTCTTCCTGACCCCAAGCCTGCCTGCCTGCCTGCCATTCCCAGTCTTTTATTCTGGTTCTGCCCCCACAAAACATGTGGACAGACAGAAGACACACACATACTACTCTGGTCACTTCTGGATCAGGTCGTTTCTCAATGTTTTTGTTAAATAGAGACCATGAAGCTGAATACAATATTCCTTTTCTCTTTCTGCATATGTTTTACAAGTTAATAATATAATTACCAAAATATTATATAACAATTGTAGAAATTGATGACAACACAGAAAAGTAAAAAGGTAATAAAAGTTACTTATAATTTCAATACCAAGAGACAGCCACTCGAACACTATGTAGGTGACATTTTCCTAGATTTTTATAGATGGTTTTTAAAATTTATTTTGTTTTAATTTGGTGTAGGTTTTATTGATTGTTTTTCAAATGATGTCTTCTATTTGAATCACTTAAAATCTGGCAGACAGTTTCATTCTTGGAAGCTTGTAACCCTTCTCAAGTGACCCTTCTCTCAGTCACCAGGTCCTGGGCCCGTGCCTACACCCCCAGCCCTTTGAAGTGGCTCCCAGGGCAGCTGGCTGGCCCCAGACCCATCCTGCAGAAGCTCCTCCCTCTTGGCCTTCAGCTCAGCAAACCGCACTGGGAAGCTGCCCAGGTTTAGGCAGAAGGAACGTCCAACAGCTGCTCATATGGTTACCCCCCCCAACCTTGGTTTTCTTGCCTCTGTAAATAATTTCAGCATCTTTCTCAGGAAAATACCACCTTATCTTCTGTCAGGCTGGATTACATGGAGCAAGGTCTCCGTAACATTATCTACCTCTCCTCCCGGCCCTCACCTGTGTGCTGTTCCACAAGGAGCCCTGAGGTCCGTGGATGCCGTGTGACTTACATCCCAGCACACAGCGACTGTCCCAGCCCCCACCTGTCCTACCTGTGAGCAACCAGGGCTGGCCACTGTCTTCTGTGCCTGATACGGTTTCTATTCAGTTGTAAGAAAAGTTGATGTCTGACTGTTTAGAAATCCATGAAAACAGTGGACAACCCCTGAGCCCCTGTGGGACCAAAGCCTACCTTCCGCATTGAGATGCATGGTTTCCAGGGGACCCATGAAGGCATACCGCAGGCCCAGGCCATCTGACATGACAAGGTCCAGGTCATTCGGAGACACTATTCCATCCTAAATGGGGAAAAGAGGCAGCATACAGATGAGTCCCCTGGAAAGACCATTTTGTTACTGTCACTTTCATTAACTGCAGCAAGACCCCACAATACTCTCCAAGTACTGTATTTTCATCAAATTTTGCATGATGAAATGACAATATAGGAATGGATCCTGAAAAGATACTATTTTGTGAAATGTCAAATACCAATTTGCTTTTTCCATAGCTGTAATCATCCTGGGCTTGAAAAAAACTCTCTTCTCCTGTACTCTGCCCACCTCCACTGTTGTCCGTTCTCCACCCACAATGCATGTCCCACTCGCAGCTTTGGAGCCCAGGGAGATGGCGAGAGAAGGAAAGAAAACAGCGGGGTGCTAGAGGGAAAGAACAAGGGTTTCTACACTCCTGCTAAGAACTGGGGCAGGAAGACTGGAGCCATTGACAGACCTGCAAACTTGCTTCCAGGTTGGGCCCATCTGCAAGCCCAGCCTTGTTCAGCTTTTAATGAGTTTGTAAAGAATGATATTCTCTGGTGAAATGCAGCTTAGAACTGGGTGATTGTTTGCAAAGGTGGGGCCCTAGAATCTTCTGCATATGTGACCTGCAAAGCGAGAGGCAAATTGTTACGTGTTTAGGTTGCATGTCAGATTGGCCATTTGCGCGGCATGACCTGTCCCTCAGTCAGCTTCCCTGTCACACTCTTCTGGAAGGAGCAGGGGTGCATCAGAAATACTCACATGACTGGCCCCTTCACTGACAGTGCACTCTCCATCTGAGGATATTGTCACCTTGGCCACCAGCTGTCAGGAAGACAGACGTGGGCACACCGTCATATTTCCCCCTAAGTCCTCACTGGTCAGACGGTAGAATTACTGTGGGATCTCCAGCTCCTATTTCCTGCATGGTTTCCTTCACAAACAGAGCATCCTTGGGTAGAGACAGCCCCATCCCTCCATAAGTGGCCACTAAGTGTGCTGCTGTGGCTGATAACTCTGCCACTGGCAGCCCTCAGCTGTGGACATCTCAGCTCTGCCCCTAATTCCAGGGCACACGCATACACTGCACTGACCCAGCTTCCAAGAACAGGCTCAGGCATGTGGTCCACCCTGCACTGCCTGTCACTGTGGGTTACAGAGCAAAGCCTTTACCTGTCCTGTCTGAGGGTGTCTGTGTGGGGGGCTCTAATCACAGGTGCACCGTGGCCACGACCAACAGGAAGGAGCACTTTGCCCCCCAGATGATCCTGAGGAGGAAAGGGGGTGCCGGGCCAGGCCCTCCCCACTCAGGAACTGGAGACTGAGCTCCCCCTGCTGTCCAGCCTCCTCCCCACCCAGTGACTTCTCTGTATCCCAGACTTTCAAGTCACCCAAGAGGTGGAGAGAAAGGGAGTTTGCACCCTCAGCCTGCATTACCTGCAGCCCAGGTGTGGAGGGAGAAACACTAGCCCTCTCAGGGCTATCTGGGGGTCTGCACCTGACCTGGGGCGGGGGACTGCGGAGGGGCTGGAGGCCAAGAACCAAGAAGACAGAGGTGCACATGAGAAGCAAGTGCAACGTAGGTGGAATGAGAAACCTTGCTTGAAGGAACCACTTTCTATCAAGTCGTGTTTGTATGTGAGAGAGATAAACAAGGACGTTCGCAAACCAGAAACATGTGGTTTAGAGATAATTACAGAGCAACGCCACCCAACCATCACCGTGCCCACCTTCCTGATCACATCCTTCCCAAAGACAAACACCTGACTTCTGTAATAACCACTTCTCGTAAAACTTGCCAACTATGCTTACATTCCTAAACAACAGAGCTTGCTTTTTACCTATTTCCATCCTCTTCCAAATGGACCCACACTGTGCACTCTTCTGTGACTTGGTCCTACACCTTCAGGGTCCACCTGTGTTGTGCGGAGCTGTAGTCTATCCATCCTCTCTGATGTGTGAAAACCAGAGCTGACCCATCCATCCTATTGCACATGAACGTCTTGGTTCTTTCTAGTTTGCACCTACTGTAAACAGGGCTGCCGAGAACATTCTTGCTCGTGGCTCCTGGGGCGTGTGGCCAAGAGCAGAGCTACTGTTCCCGAGCACTGGCTTCTCCAGCCTGTGCGATAACACCGAGCTGCTTCCCAAAGTGGCTGCACACACATGCACTGCCTCCCGCAGTGTATGTGCGTTCCCATCACTCCACATCCTCATCAACACTTGGTGGCATCATGCTTGTAAACTCTGGCCAATCTGTAAGGCTATCATGGTATGTCATGTGTTTCTTATTAGTCCGAAATCATCCTACCATGAGTTCATTCGACAGCGAATTATTCAGTTTACTCGAATGCTGACAAGTTTCACCTCCTTTCACTCCTGATAGCAAAGCTGAAGAGGGGAGGGGCAGCAACAGAAGGAAATAATACACAAAGTTCACAGTAGAGCCCAGAATCCAAGAAACCAACTCTGAACCACAGGGCAGCCCCACCCTCCTCACCCTCTTCACCAGGCTTTCGGGCAGGAAGGGTGGTTTCTGGTTCCCTCTCCAGGCTGCCTCCAGGCATCTCCCATGGCACCCTGCATCCCACAGGCTCTGGAATGCTGGGAAAGGCAGCCAGGCAGGGGCCCTACAGGCTCTCCCTCATCCCTGGCCTGCAGGCCAACATTCCAGAGCCTGGAGTTTTCCTGACAATGCTCAAACTGTGAGGGGTACACATATGGAAGCCATCCTCCACTTGCAACATTGTTTGCCTTGGCTCTTTTATGACCGTGTTTAATACTTTTAGGGCTAACTTCAAAAGGATTTCAAAATAGCCAGAAAGGGAGCCACCCAAGGGTTTTTTATTTGTATGCATCATTGTGTGAGCTGACAGGGACCCCGGCTACCTAAAGGCTCAGAGGGACTGTCCGTGCCGTGCCACATGCCGCCTCCCAGTTCCTGGATGTTCTGTGCTCCCTCCTGGTTCCTCCATGGAAAGGCTGTCTACTTTATCAGCGACTGTTCATTAGCTGAACAAGTTAAAGGGGGAAAATGTTTTAGTATCTTCTCTTCCTAACTCCTCCTTTCTGCCTCATTTGGGTTTTTTATTCAAATTTCTCACAGCTTGAATTTTTACCCAGAAGCTAAATCCAGAGAAAAGGAAGTCATAAGTGATTCAGCCGAGATGCTCGCTGATCAGGATTTCATGTCACTGAAGCAGACAGTCAGCTTTATTCCTGCTGCACTCAGCACTGAACTAAATGTTCATGATTGGGATATTCTGAAGCTCAAGTTGATTCGTTTTGCTGTTGAGTTCCATTCCACTGACAGGAGTGGATTTTGCCAGCCCAAGGTGTGCCTTTGGGGATACTGACTATTTTAAGCTGGTTATTTTTTTTTAAGTTGTTGTGAGAAATTTTTTTTATTAGTTTCAGGCGTACAAAGAAACATAATAGACATTTACACCCACCACAGTGATAATTCCTCTCCTTCAAGCTACTACCCCTCTGACATATAACTGTTCCAATACCATTGACTATTGTCCTTATGCTACACTCCACCTCCCGTAACTATATATATATATATATATATATATATATATATATATATATATATATAATATATATATGGTTGCGTTGTCAGAAAAGTCATGACATATTTTTTCTGTTTTTTGTTGCAAAAATGCGTCATGACTTTTCTGACAACCCAATATTAATTATATTGTAGTTGACATACAAAATTATTCTACTTCATAAGATAGTTATTTTTAAGAAACAAAAGACTCAGAAAGAGCCATTGACCGTCCTCCTCTACCTGCTAAGTGACTTAGGACAGAAACATCTGCTTCACGAAGGGTACCTTGGCTTTTCACCTGAGCACCTGTGAAATAAGTGGCAGACACAGAAAAATCTACAGAAGCGTTTCTCGGACTCCCCTCTGGGTCCCACTGTTTCTGGGGCCTGGCATGAATTTGCTGACCACGTGTTTGCTCTTTTGCATTCCCCTGTGAAGTGCCTCCCTCCTTTTGAAGTCCCAGACCCAAGCCTCCTGTCCTTAGTCCAGAATGGCACATAAGCCCAACTGTCCACAAGTTTTCCTTTAGAGGGAAGATGTTGGAGACACTGAGCACTGCTTCAGGCTATGGCCACCCTGGCGTGCGTCCAGCAGGAAGAAGCTGAGGCCTGAGTGAAAGTCACGGCACAGACACTGGCGACATCCGTGTATTTGGCAAGAAGAGTCAAGTAGTGTGACGGGCCAGGATGTCAAGTTAAAGGAACCAAGAAAGCCGCAAGCTCCTGCCTCCAGCCACACCCTCAGCTGCAGGAGTTTCTACGTGGTATGGATTTTAACATTTCAGTGTAAGTGTTGAGGGCTTCTCTTTTATTGAAGAAATAATGTATGAAGTGTCTGAGTGAGTCTCCTTGTGGTTGAAAAGAGCTGGCCTCCGCAGCCCTGCCCACTGAGCTCTGGGCACCTGTGAGCACCTTTGCCTCGCCCTGCCCTGAGCCTCATGTCCAAAGCGACGCCACCTCTGCTCCCCTGTGGCATTATTGGCTTGGGTCTCCCTTTACAGACCAGCCTGGACACCTCCCCCTGCTTCACCCATGGCTCTGTAGGAAGGCGGTTTCCTCTCACTTCCAATTCCCCCGCAGGTCCGGCCACATCCTTGCCTGCCCGATGGTCTGTCGTTCCTTCTTTTGTGTTCGTCTGCTCAAGTTCAGGTACAGTGAGTGTACACAGTCTTCCCACACCCCATGTCATGCGCCCTACCCTACCATGCCTTTCTTTTTCCTTTCTCACCAGGTCAAAATTCACCCCACAAAGCTTTTCCTAAGACGTTTTCCTGCCATTTCTGCATTATTTATTCTACCTCCTGGAAATAACCCCAGACATTGGTACTGATGAGGCTGAAGGAACCATCTCCCAGCCTTCCAGCGCGTGGAGTGCGCTCACCTTGTGTCTCGCTCACATCCCCGGGGTCCACTGTTCCTGTGCCCACCTGGCCTCTGTCTTTCTTGCCTTCCAAAGCCTGGGGTCGGCTTGTCTGTGGCAGCAAGCT